CAGCTCGCAGGCAGGGAGGAGGGAAGGAATGCAATGAAGAAGAGGAATGCAATGCTCTGCATGACCTACAACATTAACAGCACCCTGCATTGTGGCCCACCCCATTATTTTGATCACAACCGCAATTTGCTTAATTGGTATTCCTAAAAAATGACAGAAGACAAGTGTTTGCATCAATTAGCTGTCGTTTCTTATTTTTCCTTGAGTATGTTTTGCTCAATTTTTCAGCTTCTTTAACCGGAAAGCTGTTGTAAAAACTAAGATATGTACCAAAGAAAAATCAGATCCTTGTTTTATTTATTTAGTCACTGGAGACAAACACTCTGGTTTAAATTACAATGGATTATCTGACTAAACTGTTGGGGGAATATTTACTGTATCTTTAAGAAGCCTCTCTCTCTCTCTCTTTCTCTAATTCTTTATAAAACGCTTTGAAGACTCTCCAAATTAATTTTTTCATTATTAAACAAGCATTTCAGATTTGTTATCTTACCTTTCATAATGTCTGCGAGTACATGTAGCAGCACTTGTGCTTCCAGGGTTACCACCTAATTCATCATAAATATGTTTCCATTGTCGACGGGCTGTTATCTGTAAAAATGGCAATGGAAAATTTAATCTTGCATCTTTACAGATTCTACAGCGTTTGAGTTCACAACAACAAATGCATGTGTGACACTTTCAGAACAGCATGTACTACAAGCACTATAAAAGCCCCTACAGAATATATAGAGAGCACAGAGCTTTGCGTGTCTTTTTTTTTTTTTTTAGGTAAGTTAACACTATGTCTATTTTCTTTCTCTCTAAAATGGAGTGATCTGACTGATTCATTATCAAGGCACAAGCAATACGGTCTCACAAAAGAGAATCGCAATCAATACAGGGTCATTAACCATCAGAAGTTATGCAGACAAATCCCACGGTGAATTATGAAAATGAAGCTCAAACCATACTCAGCACAAATAATGATTACATAGTTATTTTAACTGAATTAGAGAAAATAAATCTGCTGCAAAACCCAAATCCACCACAGAATTCTGTAAATCCACAAAAGCATAGTCCGTAACTCTATACGTTACAAGCTGTTTATTTTTATCCATTTATGTCAGTAAAATATATAGATCAAATAGTAATGAAATCTTAACATACTCCAATGTTAATATTTGAGCTATGTACTTTATTGGACCACACTGATGAAAATAAACATCTTGTAACATATTGAGTTACATACCATGGTTCTGGTTTTTTGTACAGAAATTAGGATTATACAGAATAACAGATGGAAGACCTGGCAAGAATTGTTTCTGAATACCACTTCATTATTTTATATATTCCGCTATATTTAAAACAGGAAGAAAAACAGGAATAGGACAAGCACAACAGATCACCCTCTTTTGCCTGCAGCTCATAAAGAAGGCCAGTGGAAAATTGTGGGGGCAATTTGGGGAGAATTTTGTCATTTTCTGTGGAATGCTGTGGATTTTAATATATTCAGCCCCGGAGGCTTCTTCAGAGTTACCCACAGAGCAGTCAATGGCGTTTACTGAGGAGCTAAAGGCAGCAATCAGAAGAAAACAAATATTACAACTTGCAATCTGAGGCCTGTAATTTTAATCTAAACAAGAGAAGATAGCTATTGTCATTAAATATGACAGGGTAAGAGGTGTTTCTTTTTCTGCCCAATGTAAAAGGAAAATCCTTCCTTTGCAGAAATTATTCTCCAAAGCCAAAAGCATGGCTGGAGACTTATCATTTGATAATGCTACAATTTCTTCAAGTTTATTTTTCATACAGTTCTCCTTAGAAAACATCAGCATCTCCAACTAACTATTAGCACCTGCACATAGTTTGCACTTACAGACACTTGGGAAAAAAAAAACAAGAGAGTATTTTATCTTAAACCTTATTTACAGCAAAATGGACTGACTTCACTAATTTTATTTTCTGTCTTCTGTTACCAACCCAAAGACTACAAGCACAAGAGAGATATAGCAATTCAAGGATAAATTCTGCACAAACAAATTATTTAAATACAAATCAAACAGTCATCTGAGGATAAGGTTCATTCTAAGTCTATTTTGTTTAAGCTCTTATGCTGTCTCTTCCCCCAGTTACCCACACTTCTACATATTATTACTACTAAAGGGCTTGAAGAACTGGAGTCCTAATGAGCCATAAAGAACACCACCTCCTGAGAATATGAACAGATGCTCCTTTTGCAATCTGAAAGGTCAAAAAAGAGTTGGACCAAGTACCCTGCTGTGGAGGAATGCCTGGATGGGAAGCTACCTCTGGTCCTGCGTACCACACCCATCCCACCAGTCCTCAGGAGAGGCAAAGGACAGAGGCACGGCTGGACAGCCCTTGCCTTCTGGTAGCTCCCAAGAATCACAGATCCCCTGGGGACAGCTGCAAGTGGCTTTACATTAAATCAGGTCTCTGGCAGCCTCACAGACTAGGGGAGAAAAGATGCACAAAGCTGACCTGGGGGCTGTGGTCTGGCCCTCTGGCAAGCACAGCCTGACTGGCTTGCAAGGCTGTGGGCCAGGACCTGATGCTTTGGCTAAGCACAGTGATGCTGTGCAGAAGCTATAAATGAAAGTAAAGAATTAGTCAGCAAGAGGACTACTGCAAGTCCCCTTTTTAAACATCCCAATGTGACTAAGCAGCACGGTCTCCATTTTCAAAAGGAACATGTTAACCTTAGAGCTCAAGTATGATTAACTATGAGCTGAGTCAAGAATGGATACTCAAGCTGGAACATCAGTAAACACAAACAACTCTAAGGGGAAAAGGGAATCCCTTTCAAGTCCCTGGATCGTTTTTGGCGTCTCTTTTCTCTATGCTGCTTAGAATAGTAGTATTTTCACAAACATTTGCCCAGCTTTAACCAATTCTGCCTCTGCAACGGACCAGAACCCCTTGGCAATTAGCAGAGCTGTGCCCTCCCACATACAGAGCTAAGTTTAAACTTGACATTCCCTGAAACGATTGTTGTTCTAACAAAGCCTGGGGTTGAGTTTTCCCCTGCTCTGGAAAGTTTAGGTTTTATGCTTAATAAACTTCAAAGGACTAAAGTAACTGATAAATTGCATCCTTAAACAATCTGAACAAAATGCTGCACTGTGGAAACTTCCCAGTCATCATGCAGGGCAGCACTGCTCAAGCTGCACGCTCATGCTGGCCACATCCAAATCAAGGGCTGCTTTCTTCTCTCATACAAGTCCCTCCCAGTCACCTCAGTGACTAGGAACTTCCTAGGGAGCCAGGAAAGGGCAGTGCTTCGCAATGCTTTGCTTATGGTTGCTGCTCCTACCAAAAATGCCTGCCTTGGCTGATTTTACACAGCAGTTTTAACCCTGAAAGGGCTCATATGTGCTCCTGGTTAGTAACATGTTCATGACCGAGGCACATGAGGAACAGAAAGGCAGACAACAAAAGGTATGAAAATGGTAAAATATTTTAGCTGCCTGGGCAGGGAATTTCCCATAAACATTCAGGAGTAAAGTGTTGGGTTTTTTTAAGAGCATGGAACTATAGTGGCGTAAGACAACTAAGACTCTGCAAATGCTTTACCAAATGTCCTGAGCACTTATATTTCACACCTCTACTAATTCAGCTTCAGTTTCCTGACGTAAGTTGACCCGCTCCAGTAGAAAACACACAGAAGACAAAGAGCCTTTGCTGCTCTAGTTCTCCAATTTGTTTTCCCTACTCCTACCAGTACATACATCCCTCACAGTGCCTGCCACATTTCTAAAGTCCAGGATGCTCCAGGCTCACCCATTCATCAAAGCAATTGCCCAGGCTAGTCTCTTCTCTGACAGCTTCCCATTCCAACGCTGGCTTTAGCTTTGAAGCAGTCTTCTGGTTTGCAGACCCCTCCCACAATGTGCTCCAACCCACAGCTTCACAATCCTAGAGCTGGGCCCATTGGAAACCAGGAGCTTTGAAAACCTTCATGACATCTTTCCCAGAATTTGGAGTTATGCAAGAGACTGGTCTGCCCAGTGACCTGAGAGCAGATCTGATTTGGTTCCTATAAGCACAGTATTAGGCAGTGAGTGGTACTCAAGAACAACCAAATAAAAGCAATGATCTTATCTACTAAGTAGAGGACTGTTTATACACATGCTTTTAATGGTGTCTTCTGCTTTGAGAAATCTTAAGGTCTTCTGCACTGCAACCCCAGCTCCCAGTTCCTTTCGTCATGAAAAGGCTTCTTGCTTATTTCCTGCTGTGAATCCAATGGGGGATTTTCTGGTCATGGTATGTGATGTTCACAATGCTCTTCAAAACAGAGCTCTGGGTATTAGCTTTGTATGAAACAAACCCAGGTAGCTTTGCATTCCACTGATATATCAGTTTCTTCGGGCCTGCCCAGACGCAGGACTGCTGTACATGTCAATCATTAGTTTTCAAAAACTAAAGCACTTTATTGTTGCTTCCAGGAGGCAGCAGTTAAATGGGATCCCACTGAGCTTCAGTAAAATTTAAGCTGCTACAAACTGAAGGTTAAGCTCCACCTAGTTTTCTTTTTACCCTTTATCTTTCTAAGACATCTCCAGGTAGAGTTCATTCAGCACCACAGTCTTCTGCAAACATGCCAAGGCACTCCTGTGTTGGCTCAAAAGGAAAAATGCCACTTCACGACATGCCAAGGACAACTCTTTAGGTAAGTCCTGGAAGTTTCCCATCTATGAACATCTGCACCTTTTACTCACTTGACTTAGGGTGACTGAGAAGATTCCAGGCAGTGGCTGTTAAATGCCACTGCAGCTGAGCCCCCTAGAATGTGTCATTATTTTGTATTTCATCCAGGGACTTGGGAACATTTTAAATCATTCATACTGTTAAGGTCTACCGTAGAGAGTGCTTTCCAATGCACTCTCCTATTATTAGCAACAAAGATGCTCATTGCATGCATCTTTCTTTGAGAGAAACATGATCCCACCACTTCCAAAGAGATAGCTTCATCTGTTAAGGACTTAAACCAATTTGTACAGGTTGCTATTTTTATTAAGCCTGCATTATGTCCAACAGGAAGTACATGGGAGTATGGTATTACACAGATATAGACGACAACTAACTAAGAATTAGTAATCAAACAGATAATGGACAGATGAGAAATGACCCTCACAAGTACTCTAACTGGAGAGCCCTTAAATATGACATATGACTCACAATCAAGACTTGACACTACTAGATACCCTGTATGTATATCCCGTATGTGCAGGTACTACTCTCTGTCAAGCCTCACTGGATCCATTCCAGCCCCTGATACATGACAAGAAAGAAGAGCAGACAGATGGCTAAGAAAGTTGTTCTCTGCATCTCAAATCCAATCCCTGGCTATTTTAATTCACTTTTAGATTCTTAACTGACAGGACTGGACTTGGAGGTCTTGGACTGCTCCATGAACCTGGGCAGAAGCTGGAAAACACCGTACATAATCTCTGCTTGTTTCTCAAAGATGTTTTTAAAGCCTTATTGCAGTATCTATACATGGACAAGGTGGACAGGGCAGGGGATGAAATTGAAAATGGGCTGGCTATCATTGTTCTGCCAAACACAACGATGTAAAGTTTGCAACTGATTTAACTGGGAAGGTTTCTACACTTACTAGTAAAAAACTAGTCATCTGACCACTCTAAGTTCCCATATGTGATTTTAACCAATCTTCTATTTCTTTCCTGTTCATAAAATGGCCATCGCATGCTGAAGCCGGATATATACTTTAAAATATTCTTTTCTTTACAATACTTCCAAGAGTAAAGACTCATTTCTATCTCAATGCACAAATCAGAAACTTGCGACATTTTAAAAGAAGTGAAAGATGATGAAGGCCTTATAAGGGACAAATGACTCGTTCAAGTCAGATGGAAGGGTTCATACAGATAAACGTGTATTAATCAGGGTAGGTTTGAGAAAGTCTTTGCTCTGCATGTGAATTCTCATCATCAATAGAAATTGGCACTGTGCGTGTGAGTGGTGGATTCTGGTCGTTATTGAATTACAGCACTCACTCAAAACTTCTACATCTAAGGAGACCTGCCTAAGATTCCGGAACAGAAACTGAGCTCCATGTCATCCACTGCCTTGCTGAAAAATGAAACACGAATCAAACACAAAAGCATCTCAGCAATGCTTGTCATGATAAAATATATGCAAACAAATGCAGCTTGGCAAACTCAATGAATATCAACTGGCCATAAAATAATAAAACCCAGGGTGTGCGCAGGTCAAAGCATTGCAACAACTCTTGGTTTGACATTCAGGGAATGTAAAACAAGGCAGATCCATATTGAGGATGAGACTGTTGACAGAAGAGAATGAGGTCAGGAAACCTCATGCTCCATGTACAACTTAAATTGCCTCACAAGGGTCCTCCCAACTTCAACTCTTTTGCAGAGAGCACAGACGCCACTCACATCATAAAACCAGGATCACTTCAGCCAGTCACTCTCAAACCAAAGCTGGGCTCCCAGGTACGTCAGAGGGTGTGAGCTATGTTTGCCTTGCCATTTACTGACCACCCAGCAATTGCTTAGTTTCTTCTCTACGAAGAATAAGCACCACCGGTACATTTTCATCAAAGGTGACAAATGCCCCTGAACAACAGAAAACATCTGTCACTGAGAAAAGGACAAGAGCTTTGAGACAAGGGTAGACCGATGCTGCTCTGGATGACATTCTCACGTATGTGATCCTTCCCCTCTGATCCTCTCATGTTTCTGCTACCATTGGTAGACCTGGCTCTCTGGCCTTGTCTTCACAAACTCACCATCCTATTCTTGCTCTGCCCCAGGCACAGAGGTTCACCTTCTCCAGCATCTCTAAATCCATCCCTCCTCCTCTCATTCTGGCACTAAAATTCAGCTCTCTCCAGCAAGCCACCACTTTGGCATCCCTGCTTCTATAGTCGGTTCCTTGAAGTAGATCTGAAACGTTGCTGTGAAAATCGCCTGCCTCCCTGAGCGCTCTGAACGTGCCACTCTCCTTTCAACCTCCCTCCTGGCCTTCCCTTGTGCTCTAGATCAAGTTTAAGATTTTAGCCCTCATTTTCATCGCACTTTACAACTCACGGCAGTTACTGTTGGCTCATAATTGCTGTAACAATCCCTCTATGGTAGCTATTCATTCATATATACCTATAAGCACACCTACGCACACTCCTGTACATAAGCATGGTATGTGCTGATTAATGAAAGATAGAGGAACAATAAAAGCTAAACCAAGCATATATTTCTGTTGAAAATGTTAGATTTCATGTTTCACAAAATCCCAGCCACACCCATGCTAATCAACCTGGGCTGCTGATTTACAGAACAATATGCTTTGTTGTATGGAAGGAAAACAGTGAGTTTTGTATTTTGGTTCAAACGACTTTCAGTTTCCTGATAGTGCATTTCTTCTTGTCATTTCTCTGTGGCACAGATACGTCCCAGATTACTTCGTAAACAAAGCAAAAATAATTTCTTTCATCCAACTGCGGCAGGAACCGAACAACTTAATCTGATCATTGTGTGCAAAGAAAATATTTCCAATGACGACATCTTCCTATGTCAATTGGTTTTTATTACAGATGTCATCTCGATGTGCCATATTAATGCAGGTCTGTCTTCTCATTTCAAGATTTTAATCTAAGTTTGTTGCTCTAATATTTTATTGGTTCAAAATACATGCTGTAAAATCCATGGTCATCAAATTTTCCCGTGAGCTAAAAATAAACTGCTCTTGTCAGATATGGTTAGCTGATAAAAAGTGTCAGAGACTTTTCTGAATTACTTTGATAACTTCCTGTTTATGTGGTACTGACCCTTGTCTAATAAAGATCTTTTACACTTGGAATAAGAGAAGATACTGCAGCATACTATTTCTTAATGGACAATGCTGATTACTTTTGAAAGCCTTTAATACATTTCCCATATTAGACATGAACAGATGTCAGGGATGTTGCCAAGTGAAATTTCTTTTATGCAGTCTTGGCTTGTTGTACAATAATAGCTCTTTCTCAACATGGGAAAAAATTACAGACCCAACTAATTTCCTTGACAGGGAAGAGTTACATATGTTTTCCACTTGTAGTTTTTACGACAAGTTTACAATTTTGCCAAACCTGGAACTAATTGGGACCGTTTCCAAAAATGGTCCAATAAACCCACAATGTGTACAGCTAGCCTAAAATGCAGCAAATGATTGTTTGCTTTTACAATTTTTTTTCTAACAGGGAAAAGTTAGATTGCACAATTATTTCATTAAGTTACTTAAACACTTACTGTTTCATATCCTCCCAGTTTTTGAGCAGCTTGAAACATAGTCCAAAGGTTAACTGTTAGAGGGACAATAAGTATTTAGATAAGCATTGCATTAACCAACATATTTCAAAGAAATGTAAATTAAACAGTTTTTAAAAAAGAAAAATAGAGAATAAAAGCTCACAGCCCCTGAAAAAGCTCCTGTGAAACATGTTCCAAAGAGGTATTTACATAATCTGAAGAGTAAATATTAGTCCATACTATATATATTTTAAATTACATATAAGAGAACATACTTAGATTCCTTAACAGGACTGGAAAAATACACTGAGACAAAGGTAATGGGCTCATTTGACTTTGCTGATAAGAGGCGTGGTATAATAACTGCACCATGTTTCCATAACTTTGATAATAAAAATTACTCATTGAGAAGAATGTTGCTTTTAATTATTTGTTTAATACTGATTTCATTAGCAAGCAAGCAAGAGACACACACTGGCTCACAAAGCCTATTGATTAAACAACAATATCCAATATTTACTGCAGCTCAAATAATGGTCTCCACGATCAATAAACAATAAGCTGCCTTCTAACGGGTCCCGTACGAATGAACCCAGAGGGAGTACAAATGAGAATTACCATAATAATTATCGTATGGGTGGTTGTGCTTTGCCCACAGCTGTGGGGTTGGAGGAACAGAGGCAACTCAATTCAAAAGATGTGTTGGGAGATGTTTGTTACTTGCTACAGGACTCCTCCCCTCTCACGTGCTTTTCATCCTGGCCCACTGTCCCATGGGGCCACTGCTTGCTGCTGGTATCTCACTTTTATTTCATTTATCTATTTATTTATTTATTTATTTAGACTTTATTTTATTTTACTTTATTTATTTATTTTACTTTATTTTATTTTAATTTTTATTTTTAT